CTTATATCCTTTCTTTTTTTTTCTTTTAGAGTGGAGATTTTTGCTATTAATAATATTTAAACTTCTTGGATTCACATGTGACTACTTAAAAATAAGTTTATTTATTTCCCTTAAAGAGAAACAAAACAAAACAAAACAAAAAGAAAGACAAACATCTCCAATAGAGTTCCATGCCATGATCTTCCCCTAGCCTTCCTAGTCAGCCAGGATCAATGTCATGCATGCATGTGCCCAGAGTGTACAGGCTGACCTGGGTACTGAACCCTAATCTTCCATAGGGCTTCCAGCAATGCAGAGAGAGGTGTGTTACTACTGCACCTCTGGGGCTGGGTTCACATATAGCTTTTTATAAACAAACCATTTTTTCCAGCTTCAAATGCTACAACTAAAATTTACGTACGCCTTTTATTTCACTCAGTGTCTCACCTTTCTCTAGAAATAATAGGCCTTGTAATGAAGTCTTGCTTTTATACATGTAATTCCTTTTTTTTTTTTATTACTTTCAGGAACTTTCACCACTTTTCACTTGGAAAATGCTCATTATTCAACATCCATCTTGTCTCCTCTTTAGAGAAACATCTTCTGTTCTTCTGGCCTTACTAGGGACAGTACACTGAACACATCTTTGTGAAAGTGCTTTCCTCCAGTGTTGTGATTTACCATTTATCTCTGCATCCCATTTCAGAATGGAGATCCTCAGGGACAGGCACCAACTCTAACTAACCTTTCCTACCACACATATTACATGGTATTTGCCACATAAAAATGAAGCCCCTCCATTTGAGGAATAAGGGACACTACATAGAATACAATATATATGTATTTTTTAAGATTTTTGTTATAGGGCATGTGTCCTTGCTGAAGAGACAGAGAAAGACAGAAAGTGAGAAATTACTCAATGTCATGCATGCATGTGCCCAGAGTGTACAGGCTGACCTGGGTACTGAACCCTAATCTTCCATAGGGCTTCCAGCAATGCAGAGAGAGGTGTGTTACTACTGCACCTCTGGGGCTGGGTTCACATATAGCTTTTTATAAACAAACCATTTTTTCCAGCTTCAAATGCTACAACTAAAATTTACGTACGCCTTTTATTTCACTCAGTGTCTCACCTTTCTCTAGAAATAATAGGCCTTGTAATGAAGTCTTGCTTTTATACATGTAATTCCTTTTTTTTTTTTATTACTTTCAGGAACTTTCACCACTTTTCACTTGGAAAATGCTCATTATTCAACATCCATCTTGTCTCCTCTTTAGAGAAACATCTTCTGTTCTTCTGGCCTTACTAGGGACAGTACACTGAACACATCTTTGTGAAAGTGCTTTCCTCCAGTGTTGTGATTTACCATTTATCTCTGCATCCCATTTCAGAATGGAGATCCTCAGGGACAGGCACCAACTCTAACTAACCTTTCCTACCACACATATTACATGGTATTTGCCACATAAAAATGAAGCCCCTCCATTTGAGGAATAAGGGACACTACATAGAATACAATATATATGTATTTTTTAAGATTTTTGTTATAGGGCATGTGTCCTTGCTGAAGAGACAGAGAAAGACAGAAAGTGAGAAATTACTCCACAGGGGGAATGGCCACACTGCAAACCCTTCTCCTCCATTCTCTCAGAATTTTGGGAACTCACGCACATGCAACAGCCTGAGTTTTAAGCCACTGGCTCTGAGACTACAATCGCAGCCAACCACCTGGGAGTCCAGTGTCTTAAACCACTACACCACCTGCTGATCTTAGGATATAGTTTTTAAGTGAACAAACAAATGGAAATATGTTGCTGAGGAGGAGTTGAAATGACCCTTTCCATACTACGTTATACAAGTTTCTAAGGGCTGGCCTTGGAACCAAATGGCCTTGAGTAGCTTTGTTTCTATGGGACTAGGCATTCCAAGTTCTAAACAGCACACATACAAATGAACATTGGAACAAATGTGTTACCTGGAGGCTTCTGGGGCCAAACACCTGGCACTGAGGCTGAGAGGTGGCCCCCAACCTGGGGAGCAGCGTGCCTCTCTGAGACGTGAATGAGCCTGGGTGACACGTCACATCTTGAGGAGCTGCCACTTCATCAGAGACCAGCTCTAGTCAGCCAGTGACCACCTGATGCCCTCTGCCCACCTGGCCCCGCTGGGCCCATGCCATGCTGGTTACTGTGTACTGTGTGCGGAGGGACCTCTCTGAGGTAACCTTCTCCCTCCAGGTCAGCCCTGACTTTGAGCTCCACAATTTCCGGGTCCTCTGTGAGCAGGAGTCCAGAATTCCCGCTGAAGAGATGCAGATCATCTACATGGAGCGACTCCTCGTCGATGACCACTGTTCTCTGAGCTCCTACGGCCTCAAAGACGGTGATGTCATTGTTTTACTTCAGAAGGAGAATGTGGGACCTCGGCTTGCAGGGCGGACCCCACACCAGCATCGAGTGGAGTTCAGCGGGATCGCTGTGCCAGGGACGTCAAGCTCCCGGCAGCAGCAGCACCAGCATCATCGGACAACGTCAGCCCAGCGGTCCCGCGGCCTGGCCTCGGGTGAGAAGATGGCTTCTGCTCAGGGTCTGGACAGCCCTGCTTTGATCCGCAGCATGCTGCTTTCCAACCCCCACGATCTATCCCTGCTGAAGGAACGCAACCCCTCTTTGGCAGAAGCTCTGCTCAGTGGAAACCTGGAGACGTTTTCCCAGGTCCTGATGGAGCAGCAAAGGGAAAGGGCCTTGAGAGAGCAAGAGAGGCTTCGACTGTATACTGCAGACCCATTTGATCAGGAAGCTCAGGCCAAAATAGAAGAAGAAATCCGGCAGCAGAACATCGAAGAAAACATGAACATAGCAATGGAAGAGGCTCCGGAGAGTTTTGGACAAGTGGCGATGCTTTATATTAACTGCAAAGTGAACGGATATCCTTTGAAGGCTTTTGTTGACTCGGGTGCCCAGATGACCATTATGAGCCAAGCTTGTGCCGAGAGATGTAACATAACAAGGCTGGTGGACCGAAGGTGGGCTGGGGTGGCTAAAGGAGTGGGCACGCAGAGAATTCTCGGCCGTGTTCATCTGGCCCAGATTCAGATCGAAGGCGATTTCTTACAATGTTCTTTCTCCATACTCGAAGAACAGCCCATGGATATCCTTCTAGGGCTGGATATGCTCAGGAGACATCAATGTTCCATTGATTTGAAGAAAAATGTGCTGGTGATCGGCACCACTGGCACGCAGACTTACTTTCTTCCTGAGGGAGAGTTACCCTTATGTGCTAAGCTGGCAAGTGGGTCTGGGCAAGAGGAGTCTTCAGACAAGGAAGTAGCAGATACTATTAAACATTCAGTCAAAGATTCAGGACGAAAAAAGCACTGACGCAGGCTACCACTTGAGGGAGTCTCAGGTCACAGAAATGACACGATGTGAGCTCACTGACAATGAGATCATTAAAAACGACAGTAAACCACTGAAAACCTGGCCTTGGGACTCAGTTCTCAGATGGGTACCTATGTAAAGCGTGACTGCTTGATCTTAGCTCCTCTTCCATTTCTTTTATTCAGAGGTCACTGAACCTTATCCGGGAAGGCTGATTTCCTGGAAGGCTGAGGTTCCAGCTGATTTCCAGATAATCTATGAAAGGGAAAAGCAACCTCTTCTTCTAGAGACACTAACCTATTAAATTATAGGGTGGCCAGTCCAAACCAGTCACTGCTGTACAGAATTTCCTGGAAAAAGCCACTGAAGCAGATCCTAGAATGCATCTACATGCAGTCATTTCACATCAGCACCAACAGAGAAATAGGACTATTTTCACAGATTTTATCGTGAAATTGTACTCAGAGAAATAGGACTATTTTCACAGATTTTATTTTCTTTATGAAAGATACTAGAAATGGTGGGTTAATGATACTCTTGAGTTAGTTAATATTTATCCATATCTGTTTGGAGAAGCTTAGGGCTTATTCATATTTTACATCCACCTTTTCCCTGAATTTCCTTGGAGTCGTGCTCATGACAACTCACTCCTAAAGACTATTTTTGCTGTATTTGAGAAAGTGGATTTTCTCCTGGGATAGCCTAAAGTATTTTTTTAAGAGAGATTTTTGCTATAGGGAGTTTGTGCTTGCCAAAGAGACAGAGTCAGAGTGAGAAATCATCCCCCAGGGGTGATAGCCACGTCATCATCCCTTTTCCTCCATTCTCCTCTCAGAATTTTGAACACACATGCACAAGCACCCAGCCTGAGTTTGAAGCCTCTGGATCCAGGACTTGAACCACGGTCGACTACGTGGAGTCCAGTGACGTAACAGTTACACCAACTGCTGGTCCCAGTTTTTTTTTTTTTTTTTTTTTCCCCTTTTCCTCACATTCAGAGAAACCCTGATTGTAAAACAAAGGCAATGAATTGGATTATCATTCTTTAAAACTATGGTAGTTTGGGAAGCCTAGTGGTTGTATGGTGGTGGGAGTGGGAGGCGGGGTTAGGCAGAGGTTAAGGCTCTCTAGGGCTCATTTCAACTAGACCATCTCCTTTTTTTTCTTTGCTTTAAATCCATTTTATATATTAAGCTGCTGCTACATATTGTTAGAATACAAGGTTTCACTGTGGAAATAACATTCTGAAACATCCAAATGAGAAGACCTCATTCAGCTCTTTGATCCATTTTGACAAAGCTACTCTCTATTACATTGATAGTAGGAAATGGAAAATCCTGATTCGAATGATTGGGTCATTGGAGAAGTCATGATGCATTTTTGCATAGAAAAATATGTCATAACGTTTCCAAAGATCTGATACAATGGATGACTAGCACACCTGAGAGAAAAAGCTTAGTTGTCTGAGGCCATCAGTTGCAGGGGAAATTTTGGACATTAATTCGTCGAGACTGATATTAGAACAGTAGATTAAAAATGAAGAAATGTATAATCTGATCTGAGTTCTGTATTATGTAGACAAACCAGTTCATGTATTTTATAACTCACAATCCTCATTTTTAAATTGTTTCATGGAGGAGGGTAGTCACTTTTCAAGTGCTTAAGCTACATTATGATCTAGAATACCCTTTAAGTTATTCTATTGGAGAGTCATGGAAAGGAAAGTCAGGGAAGTCATGATGCATTTTTACATAGGAAAATATGTCAGGACTTTCTCGACAACCTAATATTTTCCCAAGAAAAATGTAAAGCCATTTAAAGCATTCCCAAAAGTTACAGGAAAAAAAATTCTCCCTTGGGCCAGCAGGTGGTGGAGTGGTTAAGGGTGTTGGACTCTCACGTGGGTGATGCATTTCAAGTCCCTGACCTGGCAGCTTGCTTTCTCATTTTCCAATAATTCTAAAAACAAAACAAAACAAAACTCTCTTATAATCATCATATCCCCTTTTGGGTTTGCTTCTGGATGATACTAATCACTCTCTTCTATTTTTAACTGTGGTCGGCCATGTGGGAGTCCAGTGCCATTAACCACCACACCACCTGCTGGCCCCTAATCACCCTCTTTTAAAAGAGACTAACTTTGGGGACCAGCAGATGGCATAATGGTTATGTTGCTGGAATCCCACATAGTCAAACCTGGTTCAAGTCCCGGACCTGGTGATTTAAAACTCACACTGGGTGCGTGTGAGTATGTGCCTAAGATCCCAAGAGGAGAATGGAGGAAAAGGCATAGCAATGTGGCCATCCCCCCGGGGGCTGATTTCTAGCTTTCTGTCTCTCTGTTTCTGTCTCTCCAGTGAGTGCACACACCCTATAGTAAAATTCTCTCTTTAAAAAAAAAAAAAAAAAGAGGGAGACTAACCTCTTTGGTCCAGCCATCATCACTTAATGCCCAAGATTTTTTATTTTATTTTATTTTATTTTTTTATTACAGATGTCCCTCAGTCATATTCCCCAGTCATTTCTATATTTGCACCAATGTTCATAGCAAGTAGAACTGCTAAATATGACCAAATGGACAGACTTTGTTTTATTTTGGTTTCTAATTAAGTCCTAAAGACAAATGCCATTAATGAATAGAAGAAAGAAATTCTGAATAAAGTCAGGAATAATGAAAATGCCTATAAAGAAATGGAAACTGATCTGATAAATTCATGTATCCTCTCTTAGATAAAAATATGCAAAAATCTTCGGCATCTTCCTCTGCACTCAACTTTAAGGTCCTTTATACAAAAATACACCTGATTTGCATACATCACACAGTACTCCTCAACATCGAAAGGTTAGTATATGACCTATCAGATGGCTCATAAAAAACAGTCGAGGGACCAGCAGAGGATGTGGTGGTTAAAGTGCTAGAGTCCCACATGGTCGAGTGCAGTTCAAGTCCCAGACCTGGCAGCTTGAAAATCATGCCGGGTGCATGCACAAGGGAGTGCAAAATCCCTGGAAGAGAATGGAAAAGGGATTACAGCTTGGCCATACCTGCTGGGGAGCGATTTCTCATTTTCCCTCTTACTCTCTCTCTCTCTCTCTCTGTCTCTCTTTGGCCAGTGCATGTTCCCTATGAAAGATAAATCTTAAAAAAAAAAAAAAAAAGTCAGTCTAGGAGCCTGCAGGTGGCGCTGTGGTGATTAAGGCGCTGGACTTTCAGAAGAGAATGGAGAAGTAGCTTTGTGGCCATCCCCCCTGGGGAGTGAGTTTTCACTTTGCTTCTCACTGTCTCTGTCCCTCTCCAGTAAGCACACATGCCCTATGACAAAAACCTTAAAAAAAAAAAAAAAAGCCAGTCTAAAAATTATACAATCTTTAAGGTACAAGACAATTTACATGATATCAAATTCAACCATAACCCATATCTACGTAGTCTGGATTCTAAGAGAAACGCCCTTTCTGCGGTCACAATAATTTTGGGACAAGTCTCAGAGATACAATTCTTCCTTTCTTATTTTGCACTAAAATCTATTATCCCACAACTTCCATAAGTTGGTCTTTATTCTTCCTTCTGCCAAGAACACATTAAATCTTTCTGGCATGAGGTAATTCTTTTAATACAAGAAATCAGTGTCATCCTAAATATTCTTTGTTGTAGGCTTTCACCAGATTCTTTAACTATTTCTTACAGGGCAAGTTTAGAAACTCCTAAAATTTTCTGCCACCTTCCTTTGGCCATACTCCAACTTCTATTAAATATTGCTTGGGTAAATGGGTAGGTAAGTTAAAAACACTTTTATTGATTTGAATAGCAATGACCTCAAAGAAAAATTAAGAAACAAAGTGAATTAATTAAGCAATGCCCTTATTGATTAACTTTTAAAAATCATTGTCTTTCAGGTCAAAAGATATTTTAAAAGTAGTTTTATGGATTTATAGTTTTGATGCAATCTTGTGTATACTTGAAAGGTCCTAATCAATTAAATTTTAAATGGATTAGTTTTGATCAAAGACAACATCTTTCTTACAGGTGCTATGCACAAAGTATTTTCCATATATTATTGCCATTAATCCTCAGGGAAAATCTTCAAAATAGCTATTATTCCCATTTTGCAGTTGGGGAATTTGAGGCTCAGAATGATTATGAATATTCAGGAAGTGAGAAATTATTTCCCGGGGGATGGCCATGCTACAGTCCCTTCTTCTCCATTCTTCTCTTGGGGTTTTGGGCATGTGTACACACAGGCCCGGCATGATTTTCAAGCCATCAGATCCAGGATTCAAACCATGGTCAGTCATGTGGGCGTCTAGCACATTAAACCACCATGCCACCTGCTGGTCCCCCAAAACACTTTTTTTTTTTTTTTTAAGGTTTTGTCTCTAGTGAGAGAGAAGAGAGACAGAGTTTCAGAGAAAAGGAAAGTGAGAAATCACCTTCCAGGGGGTATGGCCACACTGTAATCCCTTCTCTTCCCTTCTCCTCTTGGAATTTTGAGCACACAAGCACATGTACCCGGCATGATTTTCAAGCAGTCTAGCACCTTAACCGCTATGTCACCTGCTGGCCCCAAAGCCCTATTTTTTTAAAACCTACTTTTTTTTATAACCTACATTTCACATTGTCACCCACTTCAACACACACGCATATCTATATCTACCTATATCTATCTATCTATATAACTGAAACAGAACAAAATTTCAGATAATATGAATTACTTTATCTTTTTCTAGACTGTTTTTTAATATTACATTCTATTATTTTTTTAAGAGAGACTTTTTCCTATAGGCATGTGCACTTGCGAGAGAGACAGAAAGCCAGACATCACCCCACAGGGACATGGCCACACCACAATCCCTTCTCTTCCATTCTCCTCTTGGGATTTTGGACACCCCCACACAAGCACCTGGTGGGAATTTCAAGTCGTCAGATCCAGGACTTGAACCATGGTCAGCCATGTGGGAATCCAGCGATGTAACTACTACATTATACTGTTATTTAAACAATATCTCACACCATTTTATTATTTTTAAAAGATCTTAAACATGTCTTACTGAATGTTTAGCACAATGGTATCCTAATACACAATTTACAATTGATCTATACTAATTGACCTGC